CTTTTTACTTGAAATTAAATTTTTATTATTTTTCCGTGCTTTAGAATATTTTGGAAAATATTTTGCAATTATGATTGGAGTAGCACAAAAAATCTTTTCTTGTTGTTTTAGGCATTCTGGTTTTGGCTTTTGCTCATTCTTTGCATCTTTTATTAAGACCTGCTGGTGAATATTCTTACGATCAACCAAGCTATACCGATGATGTTAATAATCCTTGGAATCTTGTTTCAACGTATAAATTAATTTCATCTAATGGTACAGTTGAAGGATCATCGTTTATTCAAACACCCGATGATAATACAAATTTGTTTGCAATGTTTAGCACTTCTATTTTAGCAGTATATTTTATGTTAATAGGTATTATATAATAATAATTCGAACAAAAATTTGGCAAGAGAATTAATTATTTTTTTAATGTTAGGGGATTTAAGTACAGTTTCTTCATGGGTTTTAAAAGATAATAGGACTTTAGTATTTTTGTTGGTTATATTTTCATTTTTTACAACAATATATTTACTGAATTTGTTTATTTCATTACTTGGAATGGCTATTGATGAGAGATATAATGAAGAATCCTTTTTACAACTAAGAGGAGAGGTGAAATTTTTATTTGTATATAATAATTAAAAATTATAAATAAATTATTAATTATTATAATTATTATAATTATTAGATATTGGCTGAAATTGAACTTTTTTGGATGTTACCCTACCAAAGAAGAAAAAAAAACTGGTTTCCAGAAATTTTGTAATTATCTTTATTTATTTTAATTGACAATATTATATATACTAATATAGAATTTAAAATTTAGATATTATGAAGTTTCATTTAACAAGCTTAAAAAATATATAAAAGATATTAAAAAAAATAATGAAGATGATGAAATTTTACAAAATCTACTTCCTGTAATCAAAAAAATTACTGGAATTGAAGGTTTAGCTGAAGATTCTATTAAAGACTCTACTAAAGACTCTACTGAAGACTTAACTGAAGACTCTACTAAAGAATTAACTGAAAAATCTATTGAAGACCTTAATGAAATACAGAAAGAGATAAGTAAAGCTCAAATAGACGAAGTACTAAAAGGTCCACTTGACAAAATTAATAAATTAATTGAACTTCTTGAAAACAAAGCCCCACTTGACAAAATTAATAAATTAATTGAACTTCTTGAAAAAAAAGATCCGAATAATGGTTCTTCTGACTAGTAATTGTTTATATAGATGCATTTTATTGTTATCTTTTTATGAGTTTAGTAGTTATTATATTTTTCTTGTATTTATTTTTATTAATTTCTTTAATTAGTATTT